GTGCATCATATCTCTGTTCCGCATCAAGGCATGTGCACATTGGGCCACTGCTCCAACCCGAAGATGTTTCCCACCTGGAGGAGCATGGTGGACCATGCTGGGGTTGTAGAAGGTCTTGCAGCCTTTCCAGCCGCCCCTGAGGGACCGAGAGGCCTAGTTTGGATGCCGCCAGCTCGGAGTGAGCCTGGGATGCGTGGATGTCGTCTATGGATGCAGCTATGGATTTCTGCTGGGCCAGCATCACCTGGGCAGGCAAGGAGCCGAAAGCTCAGGGACCCACAAGGCGCCGTTCCATGCACAAGCAGTGGGCAGGCAGGACAACAAGGCGCACTTCAAGTCCATGGAGCACTCTTTCTCTTTTTGGCGTTTTGAGAGCTTCTGAGATTCGCGGCATCATTCAGCACAGCCAGGTTTCCGCTATAGTCATGGTGACCCTGCTTTCCGTTGTAACTCATCAAGTAGTTCCATGGCACAAAATGGTATGTCTGGGTTGTTGGTCTTTCATATTCCAAAGTATGATGGAATGTTGAAAACAAACCACTGTTGCCGCTTTTGCTCATCGTGAAGTTAAACTACACTTTACTGCAATGTCACTGAATCCGTGGATATCCAACCAATACCGTGATATTATAGTTCGGAGCATTGTCCCAAGTGTGATGTAGTTATTGGAACATAAAAGCAACAAAACCACGTTGTCCATAACTGTTTTCAACGCCCAGCGTGGTTCCACTACCACTGCCATGAACATCATGTATGGCATCGGTGGGTCACTCATGTTCGCTGCATTCGCCATAGTATGACAAGCATAACATAGCAGAATCACAGCAACGAAATGATGCAACCTTGACTCATGGGAGGAGGGCACAGCACGCATGCAGGTGAGCAATACATTTCTCCACAACAACGCCCTTATGATTACCCGCATGCTGCCCATATGTTGCCCAGTTGAGCATCATAAATGCAACTCTTCACATATCTGATGTGCAAGTCCACTCTGAAAGAGTGTGGAGGCGATGGGGTTTGCAATACCTGTGACATGGCATGCCTCCAGCTCCCCATGGATGTCTTCCCTCTCTTGGGACTTGCCTTTCTGTGTTCGCGCAAGATTTCGAGCTGCACAGAGCGCGTGATGCTTTCCTTGTTCTGTGCCAGTCAAAACATCCCCCATCATTGCTCTAAACACCAGCAAACACATAAACTGAACCTTGATAAACCAGAACTTGATTTTTGAGCTCTGACAAAAGCGACCAGGCTGTTCGCAAACTGTTTGAATTTAGTTCAGTTCTGTAGAATGTCTTAGCTATTTTAGATATTTTTGTCAGTGAAATCATGTCAAGTGTCCTGCAATATTCATCACACAAATATTGGTCTTTGCCATCGAGTGCAGATGATAGTTTCTCAGCCAACCATTTCGTTTGCAAACTGATACGAAGTATGTGACAGCCCAATCTTGCAGCACCTCCATCATGGGATGCCACCACTGTACCGCAAGACACACACTACAGAAAACTGCAAGGAAGGACGAGCCTTTCCGGGCAACTTCTCAAACGACTTGCAAATGATGCCTCATCAAATCCAGAAAATGCATAAAAATTGCCACAGATTGTTGGCTAACATTGCGCTTGGCAACCATGTGGCATGTGGCACTCTGTCGCGAGGGTCCCTTGGGGCCCATTGGAAGCATGGCACTGGGCCTTGCCTGCTTAGTGAGCTGGCGCTCATAATCCCACATCTGCAGCATCTTCACCACGTCAGGGGGCCTGTGAATGGGCCAGGGGCCATCCCACAGGAAGCGATGGGGCTGTCTCAACCAGCGCTGCCGCAGCTCTGTGTGGACGCACAAAATTTGGTGGATGCGTGCCTGCCGCACAGTCATGGGCAGGCACAGTGTCACCTTCAGTTGCTGACGGAAGTGCAGGAGTCAGGTCCACTATTGACTGAAGCAGCAAGTGCCTGTTTGCCTCAAGAGAATTCTGTCAGTGTGAGAACAAAGCGTAATACAACTCCAATGAGGCAGCAGCAACCTGACATGCTCTCCAAGGTGTGATTGAAGGTGTCTCAAGCCTGAAGAAGTGAAAACAAGGTCATCAGCTTTCTATCCTCATGCCCACAGCACGCCACCTGGTGGGTGCTCATGTTTTTCTTTGTCCAAAAGCAATCCAGCATAAATGTTTCACTTTGCAATCTGGTGGCCCATGAACTGTGTTGTTACTCACAGTGCATGGAGGCCCAATTCCTCACAACTGCATGCCTTTGTCCCGCGATGGTGATCTCTATTGCGCCCACACAACTAAAAATTTTCCATTAGTGCCAGCATTGTCCAGCCAAAACCAAAAATGCACGATCACCATTGAAAATAATGCCCCCCTAAAGGCTGCGCATTGTCACCATTAAGACTGCATGGGTAATCAAACATAAAAAATGTCCTGTTGTGGTATACCTCCATTCCACAACAGCAGTTCTCACCAGCTTATGTGTGATGCAGGCATTGTGCACCATGACTGCGAGTGCAACCCGCTCCTTGTCCACAGCCTGCCTTGCCGCCTCCACCTCCCCCTCCTCCACAGCTGTCCCGTCCAGTTTCTTGAGACCCGGAAGCTTCAGCAGTGCATGCTGCCGGTAGTATGGAAACTGGGCCATTGGGCAGCCCTCAAAGGAAGCAACCTCTAGGAGGGGCAAGTTGTGGGTCACGGCGTCCAGAACACTGACGTCTCCAAGGGGGTTGTGGGAAAGGGACAGCACTGTGAGGTGGCAGAACTGCCGGAGGCCATCAAGGTTGGTGATGTGGTTCTTGCTGAGGTAAACGATCTGGGGGGGGTGTTGGCCCAGAGGGATTTCAGGTCTGATGAACGATGCAACCAATGACAGGATTCATGAGATTCGAGGAAGCCTGCTAAACCTCTTTGAAAGTAGCCAGTTTGCATGTGTCTATCACTGTCACATCAGTGTCCGGTTGCAAAATGGACAAGACAGCCAAATGTCCTGTGCCACAAAGTATTCACAATTCTTGCACCCTGTAGTTTGTAGATGCTGGCCAAGTTTCTTTTCGTTGCAGAAACATGGTGACAACATCAATGCCTGATAACAATGACCTGGCCATTGTTGCCTCACATGGTGAGTAAGAAAGCACATGCACACTGTTGTCTGGCGCTGATTAATGCAATGAGTGTTCTTGCAATGATCAATCCTTGCACATCCCAGCAACCTTTGCATCGAGGTATCGCTCAGGAAGCCTCCCGATCTGTGTGATGTCTTTGTTGACAGCCACAATGCGATTCTTGTGGAACAGATTGGGTGCATGCTGTAGAACCTTAAGTAGTGTCCTCGTTGGAAAGCGACTGGAACATGAAGCAAGCAGGCAGCAATTGAGTGTGTCTGATCTTCACAATGATTATCCAAATTAGTGGCAAGATATCAGTGGGAGGGTATCAAGATGTGACAAAACACTGCCAATATACATGTGGGGCATTTTGTGGATTCCAACAAGCTGTGGCAGTTGTGACTTATTCTCAATGTGCCCATTCACTTCCAGCAAGCATGGCGGACCAGGAACAATGACATCGGTCTGGGAGTGGGAACAATAAAAGCTATGGATACACAAGAGCACTCCAATGAGCATGGGCCACTTGTGGATGCAAGAGATCATAGGTGATCAAGCACCTTATAACGTGAGGGCCGACAGGCGTGGACTGATGCAAGGTTCCTGGTGACCAGGCCAAGTGAATGCTGCAGTGGCAGTGCCAACGCAAGGTCCAAGGCTCATTGTTCTGTCATCGCCTGCTTTCCATCGGCCTCAAAACTGGCAGACAGATGTTCCATTTGCAAATGCCCAGAAGACTCCGAAATTGTGTCGAATGTTTTTATTTCTCCAAAACTCACCTGTTCCCACTTTTGTGACCACCCATCAGGAGGACTGCACACCTGTCCTTTTGGCGTTCCCGTTTCCTGACACTGCAAAGAGACATATGCATGAGGCGTGATGCATCACTTGCCAGTTGCACAACGTCCAACTTTGGTATCCCAGTTGTGTGCTGCTGCACTCCGACACTGCCACCCTGAGCGTGTCAGCCAAAATTGCGCTCAGCAGGTGACATGGGTGGTGAATGCAGCAAAAGGTCAGCACTGCCACTTTTTCCAGGGATGCCATCCAGTCTGGTATTTAGCACATGTGCCTGTCGTACAGCGATTGAGTCTTTCCTCCTCCCTTGGGATTCTTCATCCGATTGCAGCACCCAGGGGAAGTCCTCTCAGCCTGATTTGCCCCCTCCTGCTGCTGAAAAGGGCCTCCTATTGATGTTTCACCAACCCCTAGCCCTGTGCAGCACAATGCATCCTGTGCATCTTTGCTGCCCTTCGGGTCCTTGGCGGGACAATCTGCTCCCAACTCAAGGTCAGGACTGTTGCTTCCACAACGATGCGATGCACCAACTTGGGGCTTCTGCTGCACCTGCAACACTACTGCAAATGTGAGGTTGCAAGCGAAAATAGGCCGTACCCAAACATACACCAGCGTGGTTCATCAACCACTTGAAAGTTCGAATCTGGATTCATTCAATTAGTTTCAAGCAATCAGCAGCAGTTTGTATGCTGCACATGCCCTCTGAGGCAAAGGGCTTAGGACTCTTTTCCATGCCCTGGTAGATGAAAGAGATGTCTGGAGGAAGATGACTGGGGCCTGCAACAGCAACAATGCAGCAACACTGCATCATTTTGCCAAAGCTGCAGGCTGTTTTGTGCTTTGGTTCTGTGTTTTTAGTTTAGGGCACACCATTGCTGAGCAGATTATAGTTTTAGCAAGAAGACTGCTGCACCAATTGCAAGCCTGCATCGACACATTTGCACAACAAGTCGTGCCTTTTGTTGTGAGTGGGTAGCTGTGCATGCAAGAGGGGACAATACAGGTTTGTAGTGCAACAAATTCATCACAAAGCAATGGTGCTTTCTGTGAGCAGGAAATCCTGGCCAGGTGTGCCCATGATCCGGTGAACGAGGAAGCTGTGCTCACAAGGAGGGTGCAAGACACGATACATATTTACTTTTCTACACTTGCACCAGCAATGCATTATAGTGGAGCGAATACCACGCCGTTGTTATCTCTTGCCGGGAAACTGACAGCGTTACAAGTACTAATTGATCGGCCTGTTGGTCAGCCTGCTGAGCCTGCTGGCAGGCAAAATCCACCACAGTCGATCGCCTGTCTTGAATCTTAACTCTTGACGCCCAATAGAATCCAGCCTTCCAAACCTGCCTGCGAGTCTGTCCACAGTTTGGGCAGCAACATTTGTCGCCCACAATGTGGAATCCCATCCCCGCTTTCACGCCTTGCACAATTTAAAGACCGGGCAGCACAGTTTCTACAAACGCAAAGCCTCTGCCGTCCCCACCTCTGCGCACCAGCCAGCGCTGCAACGCGAACGCGGCGCAAAACGCCGAAAGGGCCCGTTGGCCCCGCCACCCACCCACCCACCCCCAGACACACACCCCGGCAGGCGTCCCCACCGGCTCCATCCAGGCACGTCAAAAGCCGCCAGCCCGCGACACACCGCTCTTGAACGCAACCGCGACCCACTCCAATTCCAGCTACTCTAGCAATTACAGAAGGGGTTGCCCACCGCATGTCGTGGCTTTTCTGTTTCGCAACGAATGTTCTGCTCCACCCGTCTCTCGCACTGCGGCCAACATTTCCCCCAAAACAAAATAGCTTAGGTGGGCGCAACCCATCTCCATGGTGCGCTTTGGCGCCACCACAAATCTGATCAGCTCGACTCGGAAATTGGTGCCGTTTTGCCTGCCGCACCTGGCCCTCCGCCGCTCCCGTCCTCGCCAGATACATGCGCGCGTACCCCGCCGCCATCTGCCCAAGACGCCTCCCCGCCCGTCCCGGGCGCCGCTTCCCCTCCCCGCCCTCTGGTCCCACCGCGCCAATCCACGGCGGCACCCCAACCAGTCCCCACCGCCAGATTGGTCGTGCTGGACCCAAAGCAGAAAACCCTTTCAACTTCCAGCTAGTACTTTGCGGGGCTTCAGTCCCCTTGCAACTTACGGGTAGTTCTCTTTTTACTTTTAACAAGCCCCCCTTGGGAATTTCGAGAAATAAAATTAGAACACAAAAGTAATGTTTAAAGTGAGCACATGAAATTAAAATGAGTACATATTACTTCCCCTGCTCTTCGCTCGCTCCCCAGGCTGGTCAGTACTTTGTTCTCACGATTTGGGATGCGTCAACCACCACGAAGACCGCGATCTTCGCCAAAAAAAAGCCCTGACCGCGGAAAAAAACGGCTGCGGCTGGGAGGCCTTCAAACTCTCGCCCCTCTCACGTCAGGCCCGGGCCTGTGTGCCGTCCCTGGCGCTGCTGCGGCAGCCTGTCACCAGCGCGCCACCGCGGCGCCCCCCCGAGCGGCCCCCCGCCCACCCAACCCCGTTCTCTCCGGGTCCCGCCGATCGATGGCGCCCCCGGAGGGCCGGGGCTCGGCCTGGTGGCGCGGCGCGACCTCCGCCGCTGCGGACAGCAAGTTCGCGGGCTGCAGCTACAGGACGGTCGTCAGCACGCAGTGCGCCATCACGCCCGACGAGGACGGCAACCCGCAGCGGGCCTGCGAGCGCATCGTCAAGCGCCTGAGGGAGTGCCCTGGACGGTGAGCCTGGGCCGATTTGGGGGCCCCTTTTTGGGTCCCGGCCGATTTTTGGCCCTTTTTCGGGGTTCATGTTTTGGTGCTTTTGTGGTTTAATTGCGGTGGGAATGCGCAGGGCGGCGGAGGTGATCGAGAGGACGGAGGAGTCCAGCACGGAGGCGGGGTACCGGGACGCCGGCAAAGACCTGGGGAGGCTGCTGTGAGTGTCTCGTGCGTGCGTTGCGCGTGTTGAAGTGGAGGGAATGAGATGGCATTTGGGGGAGGCAGGTGGGCGGGGGAGGGGGGCGCGGTGGCTTTGGCGCGGGAAAGGGTCGCGAAGGGAGAGGGTGGGAGCGCGGTGCAAGGGGCGGCCGATCAGCGGCGTTACTGATAGGGTTCTCGGAGCATGGGGCGCGCCTGGGGGGTGCGGGGGTGGGGGCAGGGGTGGGGGTGGGGGAAGATTGCGCGACGGGTTTCTGGGGAGGAAGGGTCATTTTACGTTGATTGACGGGGGAAGTGCGCCGTTGCTGCGGGCGCAGGCCAAGACGGTTCGCGAACGGCGACGAAGCCGTCGACGGTGCCATCCTGCGATCCGACGTTGGACAACTGTATGAGGACTTCTTCAAGGTGGCCGCGGAGTTCGAGCAGAATTACGTCGCGGAAGGTGGGACCGCTGAGTTCCCGCGCGACCCCACTTGTGTCCGCCGTAGCGGCCGCCGGCCTCGCTGGTGACCCGCCAGCACTGGTGGTCCTGGACCGGTGGGCAGGCTGGGCTATGAGAGGAAGACATCTCTGCTTGCGTGTGGTAGAACTGTGGATTGGGTGATTGAGTGGGTGCAAACGCGCTGTGCGGCCAAACACAGCGGCAGGGCCGCGGGTCTTGAGGCAGGGGCCAAGGGGTGGTTGCTGCAGGGACCCGCTCGGAACTGGGCGTCTAGCGCTGCGCCGTGCGTAATGAACGTGGCAGGAAAACGGCGACGAGCGTGAGCGCCAATCTTGTTCCGTCATGCGCAGGGCCCTCCGCCCGGGTGCTCCAGCCGGAGAACCCGGACGCTAGCAACGAGTTGGGCGATCGATCGAGGCAGGAGCCAGCGCCAGATGGCGCGGATAGTTTGCTTGGCCGGCTGTTCGGAAGGCGAGGCAGGAAGGGCCCTGATGAGCCGTCACTGCCCACTCAGAAAGGTGCGGAGGCGGGAATGGATGGCGGGGGGTGAAAGAGGTCGTATGCTTGCATTTATGGAACGTCGAAATGCACTGCCCTTTTGTGCCCGTGAGGCAGCAATGGGCATGAGCCCATGCGTGATGGCGTGGCAGGCTCTGGAGTGACTATAGGTCTCTTGTCGTTCATTGGGAGCTCTAAGGTCTCTTGGGCGTTCGGTTGGTGCTGTTATCTCTGCTGAAAGCTGTCTGCAACCCGGGTGGGGTGGCAGTTGTGCCCTGTTCCAGGCGTTGAGCGCTTTTGCCGAATGACTCGCCTGAATCCTGTCACCAAGAGCTTGCAGCGGTGTTCTTGGACTTCCTTCAATGTTTGTTTGGATCGGCTTGCTGTACTGCAGAGGATACTCTTGTTGTGATCGTGTGTCCTTGCAAGTCCAAGTGCATGCCCTCCCAGCTGTCACTTGGGGTTTTGTGGCTGGGGCCTGAAACAGTCGCACACAGACCGTTCTACGAAGGCAGCACTGCTGTTCCACAGTCCATTGTCACATGAGCAGTGATACAAGTTATGGCCAGCACAACCCTTAGGTGTTTGCCATGGGTCATCACAGTGGAGGAAATTGAGAGAATCTTTCTCTTGTTTTGGGCTCAAACAGAAAGGCGCCTGTGGAGCAGCCAGTTGCTTGCTGGTGTCCTGCTGCATGTGCGGTATTCCTCTGGGTGGTGTTCAACTAACTGTCACATATGTGTGTGTGAATCTGCAGGAACCGCAACGGCTCCCCAATACAAGGACTATTCGCAGGACTTTCAAGAGGTTTGACAAGATGGGCGGTTGTTGGCCCAAAGCCTTGAAAACATGGGACATCATGGGCGGTTCTTGGCCCAAGGCAGTCGCCTTCTTCGAATGCAAGAGAAGAATAACTTTGGGGTGGGCATAGCCAGGGAGAACTCACCCTGCTTCTCACCTCCCCTTCAGAAGCAGGGTTTCGATCAGCGCCCTAACCTACTGCATGGTGTGCCACCGGCTGGCTGCCACGCTGCAACTGTTTGCTTGCTTGGGTTGGCAGGAGGGCGGTGGCGCTGGACCCAACGATCCACATTGGGGGGAAAATGCAAACCAGTCGGCATCCATTTTTGAGAAGCAAGGCATAGTATGCCCTCAGCAGCCATGACTGCTGTTGCAGTGCATGCACCTGTTCGAGTTTCATGCTCAATTGTTTTTGATTGTGTGGCAGTTGCCAGCAGGCCACCGGACTGTTTTTCATGATCCCCTGTGAGCCCATGAGAGTGATGGGGATGGCCAAATGCTTGTGGACGCAGTGGAGAGGCAAGGTTGGACACCTACTGATGGCAGTGGTTGGGCCATGCCGGGCAGCTGCAACGTTGCCTTGTCGCCCTTCGCAGTTGCATGTGCCCACCCATCGTTGTTTGTGCACAGTCCATTGTTTCTGTTTCCAGGGCTGGAGGTTTTGTCTGGTAAGCAACCACCCGTTTGGGCTGCTGCTTGCATCTCGACGTGCTTGAATTTTCGTAGGTGCCGTCAATGACTTGTGCCAGAAGATACTTGATTTAATTTGTTCTTGCGTTGACAATGAGTGCAGTTGGACCCAGCTACACGCAGGGGCTGCGTTGTGGCTGCACTTTGTCCTTGTGGACGAGCGTCGTTTGTTTGCATGTGTGCTGTGCCCTTGGATCCATGGCAAACCTCGAGCTCACACCTCTGGCTTGCGCGTGATGTTTCCAGTTTCAACAGCACAGTCCCAAAACTGCGCTGCTCATGGGAAACGCCTGCGCCACAGCCATCCGTTTTGCAATGAAAGGGCAGCGCACTGCTTCCCACGGGAGAAGTGTGCTAAAGTCTCTTTCCACGCTGAGTTGACTGCGAGTGGTCGTTCGGGTCGCGGTTTGGGCTTTCCCAGCCCGGACTGGGCAAGTCGGTGGGCCTTCCCCCTCCCCCATCTTTGCGTTGCATTCCACGCTAAATGTTTGCGCCAAGATGACGAGTCCAGGTTCCGCCCGCGGCACTGAAGAAGAGATGCGCACCCTTTGGGGTCGCCTCTCAAGCAACGAT